CAAATCACAGCCTTGTTTTGCTTCTGTATCTTCTCTTTTTTTAAAATTTATCTTTATTGTTGAAAGTATTACAGATGTCCCTCCTTCATAACACCCTTTCCCCAGCTCCTGGGAGCTCCATGCTGCCCGTTCAGATTGTGTGTTATCAACTCCAAAAAGGTGATGTTGATCTAGTCGATCTCAGAACAGGACTAAGATGGACCTGTGGTTGGTTGGTTGGTTGGTTTGAATCAGCAGAGCTATGCCCATGCCCTGACATTTCTCCACTCCCTCATTCATTCAGCAAACATGTATTGAATGCCTACTGCGCACCACCAGGGATACAAAAAAAACAAGAACTTTTATTTCTGCAGAGCTAAAGTTCTTGTGCAGAAAATTTTGCTGTAAGGAATTTCTTGCCCGGTGTTCACTCCAAATCCTGAAGATTTTTCAGGGTAGGGAGTGTGCACCCCCTTTAAAAAGCACTGGAAACATAACTTTCTACCACAACAGTACAGAATACACTTTGATTCTGTTGAGCAGTCACTGCAGTATCTGCAAAACAACTTGCAAGGTGCAAGGAGAGGCCGTTGCATTGGGCTGTGGAGAAGCGGCACCTGCTGGGGTTCCGTCATTCCCACCAGGTGTGACCCACCCACTCACACTAGCCCGTCCTCCTGAAGGGCTCCCAGCAGACTTGCAGAGGTAACAGCAGGAGGTCTGTCACCTTGCAAACAAACAAAGGGCAGTGAGAATTGCTGAGGAAGGTATTATATGACAACAGAAAGCAAACCTTGCAGGGTGTTTTCTTTGACTCCCCCAGAGAGCTTAGTGGCACTGTTCTCTAACCAGTCCCAGTCACCTGTGCCTAGACATTGCCTCCTGCAGGGCAGGCTCCTCTCCCATGTCCCCAGCCATCTGCAGGGGCCCGTTCTTGCTCTGAGCACAAATAGCCCCTAATACTCACCTAATATCAGGTTAATCTTTGCGTTGTCACCTACGCCAAGCTGTAGTAATCTGCCGTGATTTACAGAAACTCATCAGTGAGCGCCTCCCTACCTGCGGCACAAGTGCGGACCTGACCCTCCCCCTACACTGCACCGGAGCGTGAGCCCCCCCCCCCCCCCCCCCGCACCATAGCCACACTCTATAGTAGTGTGACCCTTAAGCTCTTGACACACTGCCCTTCTCTCCCCGGCGGGCCCTGAAACCCCACTTTCCCTGGTGCTCCTGAACACTGGGTGGAACCTCAGCAAGGGACATGCAGAGCCCGAGTCCCAAATGCCGTGGAGAAGCAGGTCTGCGCTCCCGCCCCACGGCCTACTTTAGTCAGCAGGACGAGGAACGTTCGATGGCCACGTCGGGGAGGGAGCCGGCTCAGGAGTCCCAGGGGTGACAGGTCTGCTGGGCTGAGGGAGGCCTTCCCACTGGCCTCAGCTCTGCTCCTCGGGTAGGACGTGAGAAAGATGACATCCCAGGCAAAGGAAACTGCAGAGGACCTTTTAAATAAAAATTGTCAAGACCTGAGACGTTAGTGTTGTGATCCGGAGAGGAGACTGAGTTGTCATTTGCATAGGAGAGTGAAATGCAGGACCAGAGTTTCATCTTCTGAAAAGATCACAGAATGTGCTGCAAGGTCGGACTGGCATGAAATCAATTGTAATCGGCCAGCAAGCCATTCTAACCTCTTTAAGGGTTTCTTTTATACATATACATATTCCCTTTATAGAGCGAGCAGAGTACATTTGAAGAAAGTCTCATCAAATCAGAACATCTTTCCAATGTTATTTTTTAATTGGCAGCTACTGTAGCGTGACCTAAAGCCTCCGGTATTTAACCCTCTGTGCAGCTTTGACTAATGAACGGATCTTGACGGCTCTGTCTGTCTTGCTAAATATCTTTTATGGGGTTTTAAAAAAATGACAGTGTATTATGAAAACCTCAGATCCCTCGACCTAATTGATTGGGTGTTGGTGATGCCATCTCTATAACTGTACCAGAAGTGCATGGGCCTAACTATTTTTCTTATTTTTATGTAGCACTTCCATTATATAATGACATTAAGCCATTCTGAGGATTACATTTCTGGACAGTTACTGCACGGGGATGGAAAGTGACATCTGGCTTAGCCGAGGCGTAAAATGATCACCAGAAAATGGACTGGGTCTTACCTCATTACTTAAAAATAAATCTTGGAGCCTGGTTCTGTTTCAGAAAAGATGTGGTAGGTTATAACATTTGATTTATGAACATAATTAAAATATAAATGATGAGCTCTGGGCTATTCCATCAGCCATCTGGATTGCTCAGTGTTTTGACACACTCGTAGTGTGGTCAGGGTCTTTCTGGGAAATGTGAGCATCCCTGAGCTCAGAGGTGCCAGTGGGATCCTGGGGCTTCTAGTCCACCTGTTGAGAATGCTGGAGTTCCTCTCGCAGTGACGAGGACGGGGGACGCGATCTGTCTGCGAGTTTCCTTCACGCGTGGAGGGGTCTCGCCCGTCGACCTTCTGTTTGGCTCCTTGGCGGGCACGAAGACACTCCGCTGCCCACGGTCAGACGACATGCCCGTAAATCCTGCGTGTGCCAAGAGGAAGGCATTTGTTCCACGGAATGCAAACAAGAGGAATGCCTCCCTTTTCACTTAGCTATTAAGTGGCAGCTGTATCCATAAGAAGATGGTAGATGTCTCTCCAGAAACCTGAAGTGTAAATTAGGAAAATCACATATCAAAAATGAAGGGACATTTTCTGTGGCTTAGTATATGATTTCTTAAACATAAGTCTCAGGTATAGCAAATTCGTAGCTTGTTCTTCCTGATTTGTGCAATTGACGACTGGTAAACAGCCATAAGTAACATAAATTTTTTTTTTTTTTTTTTACTAAAGCAATCTCAGGTGTACTGAAAAGGCAGAGTAGGTTCGATTTCGGACGCTCCCTTTATTATTAGTGGAAGCGAGTGTGTGGAACCCTTAGTGGCCATGCTGGAAAATATACCCTCTCTGTTTGCTGGTGAATTACACAGGGAAAAAGACAGGGAGCCTTCCTCATAGGCCTGCAAGCTCTGCTTCCCCTAATTCACAGGCTCAAGTCAGCAGTGCATGGGAAATGTAGCCCTTCTCTGAATCAGAGACGAACCTCCAAGCAAATGTTACATTTCAGCCCAAAGTTTGGGCCATCAAGTTAGCCTCACCCCGAATGGTTCATGGGTAAGGATGACCGAGGTCTCCAACCTGGAGTTCTGTAACTGCTGTTTCTGCGGGTGGACCATCAGCAAGCAGGTCTCTCGTCGCCTCTGTTATTTTTGTTTTTGTAGATTGTGTTTGTTTTTAATAAACTTCACCAACCAGCTCTTCGTGTGTGTGTATGTTGTTCCAGCAAAAATAATAGACCCACATGGTCACCCGTGGGTGCGTGTAGCTTGAGGTCCAGGCCGCGGCTCTCAGAGGAGAGTGCCCAGAAGCTCTGGCTCCGCCCAGCAGTCTGTCCTCGTTCAGGGTCACCTGTGTCTGTCTGTCTCTAAAGACTGCCTCCCAGTCCAGTCGTCGGGACCTGGAAACCTTCGCCACTCTGCTGCTACGTTGCTTCTGCCAGCACGTCTGAGGGCAGAGCCGCGTGGGGGGCGGTCCGGCTGTGTTCTCTGACACGTGACTGGCTCGGAAGGCGGTGCCAGCGCGCCGGCAGTGCACACGGGTGTGCAAGAGGCTGGAACAGGGTGCGCTTGCCACACGGCTTCAGTCGTAAGAGGAGGAGCTCTGATAGGGACGGAGGCGAAATGCGTGTGGAAAGCAGCCGTCCCCGGAGAAGACGTCCTGCAGCCTCTCCGGCCGGCCCTGCGGCGGCTGCCACGGTCCCCTTCCCCCTGCCGGGTGGATGTTGATGAGCTGGCCGCCGCTTGTAAAGGCCAGGCCCGCCGTGGAGGTGGGCTGGCTGGCTGGCCGAGGGACGTTACGGAAATTGTTTCGACCTTTGGGCCAGCTGGTGTTTTGCCCTCTCACATTTATTACTCTTGGGTACATTTTCAAAAATATACATTTACAGAGTCACAGAATTAAATGAGAAACTGATTTAGGGGTTAATAGCTTGTTAGTTAGAATAGGAAAAGGAACCCGGTTTCATCGCCCCTTTCTTTATTTGTCAACGCATTTGTCCGTGTGTTCCATTCCCGCTTCCCTCGCTGCGCCCCCCCTCCAACTCTCGTACCCAGACCCCCAAACTCTCAGCCGCGCTTCAGTAGCTGTGGGAGTGAGAACGCCTGGTCACTCCCTGGCCACCGCCCTGCACTGGGTTTGAAATGGATTGCTGGGTGTTGAATCAGAAACCTCCCAACATACATTTCATGGGTCTGTCTCTCGGATTCATTTCTACTTCATTCTTGGTACCCGTGTTCTCATCCCTAAAATGGGTTATTTCACCACCAGCTACGTCCCCGCGACAGTGGGCTCTCGGGAGGCTGTGGGTGTCCTTCCTTCTTATTCCTAGGTTTACATTTGAGAAGTTGGAGTTTCATCAGGGGCTCCCAGCCCCCATCTCTTTGTTTTTAAAGTAGAGTGCAGAAGTTTTGCCGTTCCCATTTGAAAACAAGGGCACAGAAGAGGCAAGCTTCTTAATATGCAGTGTCACAACATATTGTCACATAGTAACATATGATATATAGTAAAATGGATCAATTCCGAGTACCAGGAATATCTGTGGCTTCACCTCAGCATGAAAGCAAATGAGATTCCTTTAGCTATAGAGTGAGTCTGGAGATAAACTTCAGTAACAGAATGTGTTTCACAGGAAGTGTTTGATGTGGCGCAGTTGGCTTACGAATCTCTTATCTATTCGCAGTTCACTCCTTCGAGTTATTAGTCAATTTAATTTGAGCAAATGCCAGGATTACTAACTAATTAGAAGGGTGTTACTGAAGGCAGAGTACGGGGAGAGCGCGTGCGGGAGCTCTGGGGTTTGCGCAGCATGCAAGTCTGACTTCGCCTGATGCTATCGTGCGCTAAACATCACACTGTCCTTGTCACACAGATAAGCCCCAAGTGCGCATCCAGATGACGTACCCTCTGCAAGGCCTGACCCGGGAAGGGGACGCGCTCGAGCTAACGTGTGACGCCGTCGGGAAGCCCCAGTAAGTTGTGAAGGCCGCGGCTGGCAGGGGGCCACCGGCGGTCAGTGTCACGGCATGTCGCCTGTCTCCTGCTGCAAAGGATGGGATATTTTTCAGGGAGTAAAAGAATACAGTGCATATCTGTATGGCTCTTAATGGTGACATCCGGGAGAAACCTGAAATGCCAGCTAGGATTGAAATCTCAGCTAATTCTATTTTATTATCATCAACATGATTGTCAGAACTATTTCCTCGCACACGCAAAACATCATCCTAATACATTTCTGGTGTGCCACCACCTAATGATGTAGCTGCTACCTTTGTGTGAGTGGCTGAGCTGCTGGAAAGATCGTTTTTAGACCTAAATTAAGTAGCTGCGTCTCGGGCCAGCAGCAGGCAAGTGAATTCGCCCTGCCTTTGATTTTGCTTCTCTTTCCCTCAAAGAAAAGTGTCTACTAGAAAGATTGTTGTTAGTAAGGAGTGATTCAGGAACTTTTCTCAAGGGGGTGGGTGTGTGTGTGTACATACACACACACACACACATAAAAAGAACCAAAGGACACTTTTTCTTTGAAAGTATAAAAATGCTACTTTTCGTGCCCCTGCTACATGAACGAAGGCAAATCAGAGAAACTGTGTCATCACTAACACAGTGAACAACTCATGCGGTGGGACCACGTCAGACAGCCTGCAGGTTCTTTCGGGGAGGAGGAGGGAACCTTCTGTCTTTCTAGCAGAGAGAAGACTGGTGTTCACTGTTTCTTGGGGGAAAAGTAATCCACGGAGTCCCCAGGATGAGACCCCAGGTCAGTGTTGGGATTGGCACTCCCACTTCTAGTGACCCCAGCGGGACCCGCAGTGAGCTCCCTCTGCTGTCCTGCAGTGTCGTCTCTTCCTCCCAGAGTCGCTGACCAGCGTCGTCATCACATTTTCATGTGGGGAGCTTGGAGCCTCTCAGCAAAGCTTCCCCCAGAGCTTGGGGAGGGATTTCCCCGTGACTGCTAAGGAGTGACCTCTGACGGGAGACCGGAGGGCCCGAGGGCCCACTGCCTTCGCTGCTGTCCACTCCACCCTCCCGGCTGTGTGTTCGCCTCACCAAGGAGAGAAGTGGCCTCTCTCCGTACTGGCCACTTACGGTGCGAGATGACTTTAGGAAGCGGGAGGTCATCCTGGTCTGTCTCGTGTTTCTCCTGGAGTTCCCAAGTGACGGGCTGAAACACTTCTGCTTTGCAGGGTGGGCTTCCTCTTTGAACACTGCAAAAGATTCAGATGTTTCTTTTCAAAAAGTGTTTGAATTATGCCTGGTTAGCAGCTTACCTTACCTCCAGAACAATCCAGAGAGGAAAAATTATTCTCACGGGCCCCGCCTCTTGCAATACCTGTCCTGGGCCACATTGACCACACTCAGTCTATGGCTCGCGAACCTGTACTTTGTTTCTCTTATTTTTTCTCCTGAAGAAGGCACTGTGTTCAATTGAATTGTGCCACGGGGACAGTCAATGACATGTTTCCCCGGGACATTTATGCCAGAGAGGGTATTTGTTTGTTCCTCCCAAACAGGAATGGGGGTGTGTATGAGCAAGTGTGCGTCCGGCCGCTGTCCCTTCTAGCATCTTACCTATTTATTTTCTCCAGGAATTGCATGCAAGTAAAAGCGGTCATTTAACTTGCTGTGCAACGTTGGGACTGTTGTCAGCACTCACGTCCCCATCCCCTGCTGTTCGCTGTCGGACAGCAGGACCTGAGGTCCGAATGCATTGCCTGCATGGAGCACGTACGCAGTGCTAATCCCAGACAGTGGGCTGGGTTGTGATGACACACCGTGGTAATCAGAGAGAAACTGAACTTCACCCCCTTCGAGAGCCGGATGGGCTAACCTGTGTTCGTCAGGAGCATGGCTCTTCTGCCTCACCGCTGCTCCTAGAGGCGGCGCCGGGAACTGAAGGAGTCAGTCCCCTGGGCCCTGAGCCTAGGTCCCTTCCTTTGCAGTGCCCGGCTCAGGCACAGTCCTGTGCGAGGCCTCGGCTTCATGGCAGGTGGAAGAGCCGCCTTCAGGGACGGGAGCTGCAGAGTCAGTGCCTGTGAGGCCGATTCGTGTGTGCAGCTCTGGCTCTGGAGCATCTTGGGAAATCCGCTTTGTCCTGATGGACACGAACGTGGTCCTTAAATCCCTGAAACAGGCTTGGCTCTGAGTAAGCGCAGTGGGACCAGGGAGGCCCTGCGCGACCATGGCTGGGCAGTGGGTCCGCGGGGGCTTGGGGAGCCCGTGGCCAAGGTGCCTGGGCAGAGAGGGTGTGGAGGCGTCGGGGGTGGGGGAGGGCAGGTGATGGGTAGGCCTGAGGGCAGAAGTGATTGTATCTTTCCATGATGAGAAGAGGGGATGTTTCAAACATCAGAGCCCAAAAGAAAGTGCTGTTCAGATGGAAAAGTAAGTCCATTTCTTTTTGTGAAACTTGAAATCCACTTCAACACCACAGCTGTCTTCTAAGCAAGCGTCTCAGTGTGGCAGAGCCGCAGATGAATGCATGTATCACTAGCCAAGAATTTGGTTCCCCTAATTAATGAGACGATTAACAATGGGTGAGCTCTGTCCTCTGAATTGGTGTGAAACCACACAGCGGGCAGAAAAATAGGGTGACTGGTTATTTGCTGATTTGTTGAAGGTAAATTGCAAATAATGAGACCCCTGCTTGTGGTGTGTTGAAAGTTCTTCAACACCTGGTAACGTTTAAAGAAAATTATATTCCAAACAAATTTTTGGAGACGTCACAGTTGTAATTGTGTGAACTGAAACCGTCTCCAGCAAGTCCTCTTTAATTGTGTCGCGTGTGTGTGATTCATTCCACGCGTGGGTGAGAAGTCGGGTGCAGACAGCGGTGTGGGAAGTAGTGATGCAGCCTGCCTTCCCCTCTCCCTGCAGGCCTGTCATGGTGACTTGGGTGCGAGTCGACGATGAGATGCCTCAACATGCCGTACTGTCCGGGCCCAACCTGTTCATCAATAACCTGAACAAGACGGACAACGGGACGTACCGCTGTGAGGCCTCAAACGTAGTGGGGAAAGCCCACTCGGATTACATGCTGTATGTATACGGTACGTGAGCGGTGAACACGCCTGTTGACTCCTTTACGTGTCGCTGCCGCTTGTGGCTCACCCCCAAGCTTTGAGTCAAGCTGAAACCAAAAACCTGGTTTTTCCTTCGAGAGCTTAAAGATGCCTGAGGCGGCCCCCAGTGTCTCCACTGGGGGCAGGGGCTGTTCTTCTCCCCGCTAATCAGGGACCCCCCGTCACAGCGCCTGGCGCGGTGGGAAAGCCGGTGCCTCGGCCCGGGATGCAGGTGACGTGAGAAATGACGACTGCAGGTTGCAGCCTCCCAGTGAGTGGCTTTCCAGCTTAGACGGTGTGTTCCCGGTGGTGTTCCCTGAGATACCTGGGCTGGCCTTTCCCCTGCTCTGATGAGCAGGACGATCCTGTTTCCAGCACGAAGCTATGACATGACAAGAAGATGTGTCAAGGCAGTAAATAAATACATGGACAGTATATAAGGTGCTTGGCAGCCACACTAACGACCTAGAGATACTGCTTTAGACACAATTTTTTTTTTTAATTTGTCTGCTTTCTCAATATGCTTTTACAGGGTTGTTAACGTATATTATAATGAGTTCCCTTCTTTGATCAACAGAGACTCACTGAGCATGTGCTGAGTGCCAGGCACTTTCTGTGCAGGGCGAACGTTGTCTCAGTCGAGGTGTGTGTCGCCTCAGTGTCGGGGCGGCAAATCGGGTCGCTGCGCTATTCGATTGAAGTCTCTCGGTTTTAAACAGGAGAGATGGTCGCACATGGAGATGACACAGAATGAGTAACCATGGGCGTGAACATCTGTGTCCTGTACATGCATGAGCATGTGAGTGCATTGCTTCATGTTAGCTGTGGACATGACCCCCCCGGAAGTGTGTGTGCATGCACACACACACACATGCACACACACGCACAAACACATGTGCAATATTTATTTACACCATGCTGTCTTAGAACCTGCCCTGGCCGGTTTGGCTCAGCGGTTAGAGCGTCCGCCTGCGGTCCGGAGAGACCCGGGTTCGGTTCCCGCTAAGGGCACGTACTTCGGTTGCAGTTTGTCCCGGCCCTGGTTGGTCATGTGGGTGGCAGCCACTCGATGTGTCCCTTTCACGTTGATGTTTCTCTCTCTCTCCCTCCCTCCCACTCTATCTGAACAAAAAATGGAAAAATGTCCTCAGGTGAGGATAAAAAAAAAAAGAACCTGGCCACTTTTCTTAGGAAGAAAATAGGAACCACATTCTTTTTTTTTTTTTTTTTTTAATTTTCTTTATTAATTTTAGAAAGAGAGGAAGGGAGAGGGAGAGAGATAGAAACATCAATGAGAGAGAACACTGATCGGCTGCCTCCTCCCCGCCCCTCACCGGGGATCAGGCCCACAACCTGGGCACGTGCCCTGACTGGGAATCGAACTGGCGACGTCTTGGTGCCTGGGTTGATGCTCAACCACTGGGCCACACCAGCTGGGTGGAACCGCATTCTTTTTGATGAAATACAAGCATACTTACATCGTCTCTATGTGGGTAATAAAATATAGAGCTTCCACCTGGGTTTTTTTCCTTAGCATAATGCAAAATTAAGGGTCCCCTCTAATCACCCTAAGAGTGGACTGGAGGTGTGTTTCCTCGCACACTGCCGTGTTGTCGGCCTGCAGACAGCAGTGCTGCTGTGTCCCAGTGGTCAAGGAGGTCAGGGTGGAGGGGACGAGTTTTCCGTAGGTGCAGGGCTTCCCTGTATGTAGTTGACAATCCACAGGGCCACTCTGGTCCCCACACTGTTCCCAGTGGGGCGAAAGGAACCCCTCTTGTTCCTGCACTCGCCCCCTGCTCCTGTACCCCAGGGTGTGAGCCTTCTGGGCCCCTGCAGTGCTGTTACCCAGACTTCCATCCGCCTCTTTATAACCTACGGATTTTGAAAAGCAGTGACACGTTTCCACCAGGCCAGGGCATGCTGCCTCGATTCCGAGACTAAAATATCTGGAAAAGCCATGTTGATTTATTGCGCCTACTGTCCCTACATCTCAAGATGAAAAATGCTGTATGGATTGGTGGACAGCTAAGTTTGAATAAAGCTCGTGGCTAGTATTTACTGAGGGCTCACTTCGCCCCATGCCCTGGGATGACTCTTTTACATGCATGATCACCTCTGAGCTCCACAGTAGCATCACGAGGTAAGCACAGTCGTCATCCCATTTCACAGATGGAACAATGAGGCTTAGCAACATCACATACCTGTCCAAGTCCACAAGGTTCCTAAGTCGGAGCCACGATACATGAACTCCAGTCCATGGTGAAATGTGTATCTTTCTTCGTGGAACCTTTTATTCTTACTGCTTCCGATGGAGCAGTTCCCTCCAAAGAGGCTGCCCTGTTGGAACTAACCCACTGGGCCAGAGCGCACTATTGGACAGTCAAGGTAAAGAGACCTGCACGTTAGGTAAAGTTCTCCTATACAGATCTCCCCACCCCAGGACAGGGCCCCTCCTTGCGAGGGGCCTGCTGGATCTGCACACCCCTGCCTCCTGGGACCGCGCCTTGCGGGCCGTGGAAAGCCGGCTGGGCCACTCACCTGAGGTGTTGCCCGTCTGTCGATCAAATATTCCAGCAATCTGAGAGGATGGTGAACGGAGCTCTTTCCAGAGCTGATGCACGGTCCTGCCACACTAACCTCAGGCACTTCATGCACTAGGAGTGAGCTGGGCAACGCTTGGCTCCTGGGAAGTCACTCCTCTGCCTCGGACTCGAGCTGCTTCATGCCCGAGCCCGTCTGTTTTGTTCTGTTGGCTTCCCTGTCCCAGCCCAGCTCTTAGCTCCACTCTGCGCTTTGACATAGTGACCCGAACTGCCTTGTTGCCGGAAGCGAGCTGCACACGAGGCCTTACCTGGAGCAGACTCTCATTCACTCGGTCTCCTGAGCCGGATGTGAAGGACAGCATTTTCCCCAGGGGGATGGGCGTCACCGAAAAGGCATGATTTTCCACAAAATGAAACAACTGGTGACCTGGCATCTCTGCCTCATTAGTCCGGTCCAGTCCTTGTTTATAACCATATTTTCAAATCACCTCCAGGTCCTCCTGGACTGCACTGGGACGTCACGTGCTGCGCCAGTGCATTTACGATAGGTACACACACGGAGTAGAGTTCCCAGTGTCCCCACTCATGATAAGTATTGTGATCCTCACGCCAGGCAGCTCAGTTGAGTTGGCCCTGGAGCGAGCAGGAGGTCTCAGAGCGGGGCTCGGCCCGTGCACCTCGCTGGTCCGCGTCCACCCCTGCACCCGCAGCGGGCCAGGTCGGCCAGGTCGCACGCTTCCCCACCTGGGCCTCCGCGCGGAAGCATGTGAGCAGTACGGCTGGACACACCGCCTCTTCTCCAAGGCTCGTCTGAAATGGCCGGTGTGATGGTTTCTCCCTGAAGGAGAAGGGGCTCTGTGTGTTCTGAATGGCTTCCTCCTGGTCTCGTGGGAGGCAGCTTTAAACAGTAGCTCCAACTCCTGTGTCCCCACTTCACTGAATAACTCCTGTGAAATGGGACAGTTTGCTGTTGATTCTTCACTATCAAATGTGTCCACGTGTGTACGCATGAGAGCAGTCTGTGAGAGACATTAAAACCTCGAATTGTTGGTCAGTAGCTGAGTCATTTTAAACAGACCTCACCTCTAAGGCCATAATGTTTTCATAAACTTTCAGGAAGTTATAAGAAACCCAATAGAGGTGCAATATATAATTAAAGTTTTGATGTATTAATTAGACAATCTGAGAGCTCACTTGGAGATAAAAGGACACCAGATGTGTCAGGGAGAAAAAAACTTGACATGCTTTAGATAAAACTTAAAATCAGAAGCCTTCAAGTCATCTTATTACAGCTGAATGATCGCTTAGTTCAAAGTCTTGCTGACAGTTTAACACATTCGGTTTGATCACTGGGCTCAGAATTTTTTCTCTTTCATATTTGCCCTTCCCTCCCCCCCCCCCCCAAATAATTTTTGAGATGATAGAATAATGTACAGTTATCAAGCATCTGACAGAGGATCCCTTTGGGGTTGCTGGCTTTGAGGGTCACGCCTCATTTATACTTAGTTCTCTTGTTTACGAGAAGGAACACGTTCTTCCAGCTTATTGTCTCCCGCTTAGGTCAGGCTTGTAACGTGAGCAGAGGCAACCAACTTACTAATATCGGTAAGTTGTAAATTTTATAGACTTCAAGAATAAAATCCCAGTCAACTGTCCCGCGCCTGGAACCTGATGCTTAGCGGGGACATTCTCTCTTTGTTGTGTAGACGGACAGGAGTAGGGTGGTCTTCCTTCCTGCCGGGGTGCACCGGCGCCGCATAACGTGCTCCAGGCGAGGAATCCGGGCGAGCACCCCTGCAGACAGCGGCACCTTCTCCCCCTTCCTCCCTCCAGGAGTGTAAGGTGCAGGGCCATCATGCCCTTGGGTGCTGAATTGGTTTAATGTCACCTTTGCAGTCTGGTCGGGGTGGGGGTGTCATGTTTTCCTCCTCTGCTTCCTTTTTTCTCATCCCTCCCTCATTCACTTCATTAGTGCAAAGCTCTTCTTTCTTCCTTCTTCCAAGGAAGGCTTTGGGACCTAATTAGACACATCTTTGGAAGGAGACTTCTGTCTGAAAGGCGAAGTCCTCCAACAAACACTCGGTGTCCTCGTGCCTTGTTTGTCGTTACTGCTCATTGTGTTCAGCATTGTGGGTTTGATTTTCCTTTTTTTTTTTTATCCAGATCCCCCCACAACTATCCCTCCTCCCACAACAACCACCACCACCACCACCACCACCACCATCCTTACCATCATCACAGGTATGGTACCTTCATTACCACTGAAAATGTCCTGAATGTGTATTGTCTCTGGTGTGTATGAAAACAGGCTACAAGTTCCCTTTCGGTCCTCGGGATGTAATGGCTCCTTTGCTTTGGAACTTCAAAGACCGCGTTCTTAGGTTGAATCTTAAGGATCTCAGAAAATCTTTACCATTCAAGCATTTAACAGATCAAATATTCTGCGGCTTACCCTTAAGAGAATTCTCTTTTTTAAGCATCACTTTTCAAAGCGAAAAGCTAGGGAAGTGGCACTGTGGTCTTCCAGGGCACGCTGACCACTCAGGCGTAGCCGTGGTTGATGAAATGGTAAGTATGCGGCTCCGGATCTTCTCCTTGTCTTCATCTCAATCCACACGGAGGGAAACACACACCCTGCGACGTGCCCTGTGGGCCGCGTTCCTCCCTGCCCGCGGAGTGCCCGCGGAGTGCCCGCTGCCCGTCTGTGTTGCTGGGCCGTCGGGGACCAGAGGGAGCCTCTCCTTGTCAGGTGGGCCCCGTGGACCTGCGTGGCCCTTGGTGGCACGTCGGCGGGTGGGGGAGGCCACCACGGCTTCTGGGACGGCACCTTCGCCTCTCTCGGGGCGGTCTGAGACTCCCAAAGCGGGGTTCTCGCGCCTGTTTCTGACTGTCACCGAGGGGTGTGCACGCCACCCGTGCCCTTCCTGGCTCCAGGTGCTCCCGCTGCTTGGTGCCCACCTGGGAGCCGAGGTGTCCTCGCCAGGTGGGGAGGGGAGGGGCACGGCGTCAACCTGGCTGTTTCCTAGCAAGGCCTTGGCGCCCCCTGCCGCAGGGGAATGTGAACGTAGCTATTCGATGAGACAGAAACTCTTTCAACAGTCACTGCTGCTCCATTCTGCTGTCCGACGAGACCGCAGGTCTCTGAGCATGTGCACAGCCTAACGCCGGGCTTCGCTGGAGACCCCGACTCTCCGCTCACTGCTCTTAGGGGTCCTCTTCCCACCTTCGCTGTGGCACCATCGTCTGTGCGGCTTCCCGGGGGCGTCTTCGGAAGTGTTCAGTGGGGGCCCCGGGGAAACCGGTTCTCTGGCTGAAGCCGCTGACGAGGGCGTCTGAGTTGCTGTTCGTGAAACCGCAGCACCCTCATCAGACCTTCCGCAAACCCGCGGTGGGTTCTGAGCCACTGGGAGCTCGGCCCGTCGAGGTGGAGCCCCCGCCTTCAGGGTCGCCCACAGTGCAGTGAGGGTGCCCCTCCTGACTCCGACCCACAGGCTGTGGGCTCTCCATCCTCCAGACGAGGCCGTTCACCTGTGCGACCTCTCGGCTCTTGCCCACAGGAGTCGGGCGTGTGTTCTTGTGCCCGGTCTCAGTGTCCTGTGAACCGCCCTTGGGACCTGGGGCCAGGGTCTTCGGCCCCCTTACTGGCCTGCACACGGAGCCCTCCCCTTCCGGAGCACCTGCAGTCTGCCAGGTGTTTGCAGAAGTCGCCCAGGTGTGCAGAGCCCAGGTGGGGCGGGCCAGGTTTCCGGTTCACGCAGTCGGGCCGTGCTCCCTCGGCACAAACACCACTGTTCTCTTTCACGCGGGACCACACTTTCGTCTGTGGCTGGCCTCTAACTTGGCTTTTTCTTTTTGGAAGACCTGTCTTAATGCTCCCTGAGCCCCTGCCCCACGGTCGCTCTCGGCAGCCGGGCAGAGGCGCTCGGCTCCCAGCCCCTCGCTGCGCCCCAGCGGCCTCACAGGCAGCCCCGGCTCACACGCAGGTGCTCGTGGACGAGGGCGCTTTCGAAGTAGGCAGTGCTGGTTTCTGCCCACACCCACGTCTTCTCACTGGGCCTCCCTGGCTTCGCTCCCTCTGCTCCTGGCCTCTCAGTTCAAGGTCATGCAAGGTGATCTCACAGGTGCACGTTGGCTCCTGACGTCAGCAGGTTGAACCCTCTGCACACACAGAAGGTGTCCGTGGTGATGAATGCCAGGTCCTCATGGCACGCCCAAGAGCAGTCACACTGAGACTGCCACTAAAACAGCATCGGAGCCTCGGCTGCCTTGACGGGTGTGATCTGAGAGGCTTACCGTGTCTGAGCAAGCAGGCTTATATCTGTTTGTCTGCCCAGGAAGTACACCTGTGGAATTTTAACGTTGCTCCTTTCTCCGGCCAGATGGAAGGTTACAGAGCTGAGTGATTCTGTGTCCCATTTTAGAGGTCCAGGTATCCCCCAGACTTAAGATTGATTCCTAAAAAATTTCCAAACTGAAGCTTGACAAATGGATAGCAAATTAATTTCCACTCTTCTCTCTTGCACTGTTTGGTCTATCAGAGCCACCATTAGCCTTAAAAGCTTCCACAGCTACATCCAATGACAGTGACATAAAGCCTGAGCTTAGAAGTAAGAGAAAGAAGCAGCCAGTCATCTGGCTCTTGTCTTCCCGTCAAGTGCAGTCGCTGAGACCACGCCCCAGGTCACAGCCCCGTCACGAGACGGTGCACAGATGCAGGAGAAAAATATTTTTAAATTCGGAAGGTCATAGTTGATGTCTGGTTTCTCTAAAAGGAAGTGTTCCATTGTTACCTTTCGTCTTCTGTAACCAGCATGATGGGATTGTTCCCCTGCGAGGGGGCAGACGGGCATTGAACGCCTGCCACCCAGCTCCTTCCAAACAGGTTAGATAGAGCTTCCCCCTGGGGACCCTTGAAGAGCAGCTGCGCACCTGGTCTGAGTCCAGGCTGCCCCCTCGGCTGCGTGGCAGGGTGTCTGCCCTGCCTTGTCCGGGCGGCGCGGGCCCCTGTGTGTGGAGGGCGGCTTCCTCTGGGGCCGTTGTGCCATTCGGCCACGTCAGCGTGGGTGAGGCGTTACACCCACATGAGGCCAGTGACAGCGTGAGTCTCTCCAGATTAGAAAACACCACCACCCGAGGGAGAGAAGCGGCTAGGTGCTTTGCTGTTAGATCCTTGGGCGCCCCGTTCTCTCTCGTGTACGTCGGTGTCCGGACCATATCCTCCTGTCGTGCCGGTGCCGTCGGCAGGCGCCCCTCCTGTTTGAATCCTGTCAAGTTGTCTGTGTGGTTTTATTCACGAGGATCTGTGCAGAGACACAGGAGAGCAAGCTGCTTGATTGGCATGGTCCCCGGAGTCCTCTGGAAACAGACCGCCAGCCGCGGCTGGGGAGACTTCACGCTGACCCCTCCCAGCAGCCGGGGTCCACGGGTCCGGCCAGTGTGGGTGTGGTTTTGAACTTTGGGGAAGTTCGTTGTCTTTGGGTGTTAGAGACACGTAGTCTGGCTGGTGATGGCTTTTGCCCGCAGGTCTGACGGAGCTTTTCCTCCCAACATCTTAGGGAGGGATTTGTGTCCCCTCCCGAGTGACCACGCTCCCTGTGCTGTGTCTGTGGGCTGCGTCCTGAGTCACGCTGGCTGAGGAGTCGCTCGGGACCCTGAGCGCTCAGTCTGAACACCCTCTGCAGCTCACAGACCACACCAGGCAGGAGGGGCCCGCTAGCGGGTCACCTGGTGTGGTCACCTGTGTGTGACGGCCATCAGCTAAAAATTCAAACCCCCCGAACATAGGAAATGAGCCGCTATCGGGCCAAATTCAGAAACACACTCAAAAATCCTTTCAGAAGAATGAAGTAGGTCATTTCTACATGAGTTCTTCTCTATTTTAAAGTACATATTCAATTAAATATTTTTGTTTCTTGGAAAAGAAAATGGCAGGGTTTTTCTTATTGGCATCTAAGAACTCAAAGCCCAGTTTACCGTGGCGAAACGAGCCCACCCTCAGGCTCAGGATTATTCTGGCTTCCTTAGTGTCACAGCATCAGCCTGTGCGTGTGCGGTGTGGATCGAATGGACGTGCGCCGGCCCTTGCTTCGGGGACAGCTGCAGAACCCGCCAGATTCGGGAAGTGCTGCCCCAGCACCTGCTTCCTCTGAACTGGGCAGGGAGGGGCACGGCTGAGGTTAGGACTCTAACGGGGCGTACGGTGCAGACCTCCCCCACCGAGAGCGCTTTGCTCTCCAGGGTCTCGGTCTGTGTCTTGGTATTTGCAGGGTGCGAGGGGTATGTGTGCGTCTGCGTTTAGGATGCGTTCTGCACAGATCAAGCACCCGCAGTGTGTACAGCACTGTGCTCGTGCCTGCGCAGCAGGACACTCCTCAACCCCTTAGGACATGGCCGAGGGAGGACTCGGCTCTGTACCCCGGGACTGGACACCCGGCGGTGCAGTGTAGTCAGGGCCGGTCGGTGGCACAGGCAGAAGACTGAGCGTCAGAAGTAGAAATTGGTCTGTGCCATCAAAGAATGGATGCATGTGAATAAGAAAGTATGGTACCCCCCCCACACACACACACACACACCCCGCCTTCCAGGACCTCATGGGTGAGCCTCTTCTCTCTAGAATCATCCTGTAGGACCCGGGGTCTGCTTCCCCTAAAGCAGTGGTTCTCAGCCAAGACCACTTTAGCACACTGGTCCCTGCGGTCTCCCAGTCCCACCCCAGGGACCTCTGCCAGTGCCTGGAGACCTGTGGTTGTCACAACTGGGGGTACTAATGGACAGAGGCCAGGGACACTGCTAAACATCCTATAATACACAGGACAACGGACCCCCAAGAAAGAATTATCTGGCCCAAAATGCTGAGATTGAGGAACCCTGCCCTAACGGGAACTGGACCTGACTTTTCCAGGGACCTTGGTGCAGTCTCATTCTGGCAAAGCAGAAACCTTTCTTATAGCGACTTTGGGAAGTGAGACGTCAGACAGAAAGAGCCAGATCGACAAGGGAGAAGGTAGGAAAGAAAGAATGGCATTTGGAAATGAAGCCTGAACCACCCACCTTTGCCTCAAGCGTCTGTCTCCGGTGTGTTTCTGCCCTGGTTCTGTGTGTCCATGTTCCAGGCACACAGCGGTCACGTTGCTGGAACGTGCTCGATGTCCATCCCAGAAGGTTCGCTGAGCTGCCTTTTCTCTGGAGTTGGCCTCTGCTCCAGGAGGGTGGTTCCCACTCACTGTTCCCTGAGCGCTTGTTGGGTGCCCCTGATGCGCCAGTGTGCCCGGCGGCCGGGACACGTGAACACCCGTGGGGCCTGTTTCCTAGTGACCCACCGCTTCAAGTTCTGCCCATTTGTTCACACTGTCTTAAGTGTGAGCGATTGTATCCACCGGTGATTATCCGCCTGTTACAGACAGCGTCCTACTCAGCCAGGGTGACCTGCGTGGTTTAGGGGGATGGAGGGTGCGGAACACCTCGGTGAGGAAGCTCGTCTGACTGGTGACTGAAAACAAAGGGCGTGAGAGACGGAAAGTGAGTGAGGTTGTTTCTAATGCTGTGTCACAATTCCCATACTTTCCTGCTCCTTATTCAAAAGTAACTCAAGAGGTGAAGACGGGACCTGCTTCCGCCCTGAAGATTTACCAGCAGAGCGAAAAGCAGGACCACAGGCCCAGCGTCCCAGGACCGGGAGAGGCAGGCGGCGCTGTCGGGAGAGGGAAGCAAGGACTTGGAGAGAAGGACCCAGCCTCCAGGTCTAACGGGACGAACAGTAGCGACTTCTGCGCCTCGTCTCCCCATCACCCTCCTTCCAGCACCCTCTCTGCCTCCTGCGCCTGCCCCGTCCCACCAGCACGCACAGTGTGGAACAGGGATTGTTCTCCATGTTCAACGAAACCACTGTGCAGATTCCTGTCATTTTCAGAACATCCGGTTTTCAAACGTAAAGATCTGGGGGGCACAGCAGAGCTAGTGAGCAGTTCTGAAGACGCTTTGAACAAAACTTGAAATTCTTAGCCCCCATCATGTCTCCTCCAGTGGTTTCGGACGCATCTCGTCGCTCACAGCAGGGGCGTTAGGGAGTCGGAGGGCTTCCTTCTCGCTCTGGGTTCTCCGGCGGCCTTCAGCGTTGGCTCTTCCCCCACCCCGAGAAGGGGAGTTTAATCAAAGCACCACAGAGAGGGAGGGAGAATTAACCGGGAAACTGGTAGAAAATAAATTACAAAGTTTAATTTTCCAGCACGTATTTCTGCTTTCAATAGATTTCAAATAGGTCAAAATAAATAAACAGACAGAAGGGGAAAAAACTCTATTTAATACGTATTGGCCACAACTATGAAAATAAAAGTGTCAGGGGAATTCCTTCCCTGCCCTGGTGTCTGGATTTAAAGCCGCCCCCTCACGTGAACCGAAGGGGAATTCAATTAGGAAAACCCACCGGCTCCTATTGACTTCAGTTAAGAAAATAAACTGGGAGAAAGTGTATTAAAATATGTCCGGACTGCTCAGCATGCTTTCATTTAAGAGTATGACAATCGCAATGAGAGCATGTAAATCCCTCCCAATTAAGCTCTGCTTTCGCTAGGATGCGTTTCTCGAGGTGCACCCTGCCCGCCCACCAGCCTGGCGGTGGGGGCTCCGCACCGCAGAGCGATCGGAGAAGAAAAAGTATTTAAGGTCGTGAATTTAATTTTGTTCCAGGATGTTCATTTCTGGCCCCGTTGTGTCTGCGGCCGTGGACTCATTCATGGATTAGTCTTGGCGCTCCGGCCGGCCGCGCTCGGTGCACAGTTCCGAGCTGGGGAGGGTCCGCGGGAAGGATTAGCCTGGGGCGTGACAGGGCTTACGCCGCTGTTTCAGCTCAGTGTGGCCCAGCTGCCTCTCAGGCAGGACTTTTTCCTTTCTACCTGGTTAAATGGCCAGTGTCTCTGATCTCACACATTGTCGGGGCCTTTGCATTTTGTGAGTATCCTATACTGCAACATGAAATGTAGAGGATGTTTAATTCCTCCGGGATAGGTTCCCATAAACCGCGCGTCTGGGAGACCAAGGAGGGGAGTCTGCGTTCAGGAGGTGTCAGCTCTTCCCTAGCAGTGCGGGGTCCGCCTTGGGCACCTTGTTTGGCTATCCTCATACAACTGCTAGAGGGGACTAGTAAGAATGTGCACACTCACTGGGTTTCCAAGAACGTGGGATTGTTTCGTGCCGACCATATAAAATAAGTATAATAAATTTGCTCTCACTGTCATTAAAATAAAGAGATAATAGCTTAGTGAAACCTTTTTACTGTCGAACCCTACACCACCGAAAGTCCAGCTCAACGCTGTGCCCTGTTTTTCCCGTAGACCTAGCTCAAAGATGCCCCTTCCGAGGCGGCCATAATACGAGGTTTGTAAAAGCCTCTGTTGGAGCAGTTAGGACTCTCATTTCTCAGGGTCCTCACCACATCTGTACCCTGTGTTGGAGACGTACTGTCGCATGTTGCCTGTTGCGCTGAGGATGTTACCAGACAGCGCAGTGACCCCAGCAGCTGACTCACGGGGTGGGCTTGCCCGTCTCCCCAGCCTTCTGACTGAGACACCCTTGTAACCCCCACTTCACAGAGCGGCCCTCGCTCCAGAGCCAGGCTCCTGCGTGAAGTCAGCGCAGTTATGAAGGAGAATTAGATTCTGTACAGTGCTCTCCTGCGGGGAGCACAGAGCCACTTCGAAAGGCTTCTTTAAAAAATTCTTGCCTTGAAATAGCCCCTGTTCAGATCGCATCCCCGATGCTCTCAGAGAAATGGACCCGCAGCTCCCGGGGTCCGCCCTCAGTCTCGTCCACCCAGTGGTCTCCGTGCGGTCTCTGCGTCCTTGCTGACCGTGGTTCTGCCGCTGCCAGCTGCACAGCTGGGTTGTCTGACTCGAATCTGTTTGCCTCTACCTTGTGGAGCGTGTCTTCCTTCCCAGGGCTCCTTCCTCCTGCCCTTCGTGTGCTCGACGGATTTCCCGTCCCGGAGCGAGGGAGCAAGGTGCACTTTCCCTCACTGGTTTTCTAGTGCGCACCGGAGCCCGTGTCCAGCTCGACTTAGCGCCACTTGGCCGTAAAACCGGCAATGTGATGTAGGAGTTGAGTGCACCGAGGGGTCACTGGTTAATGCTAAGCTATTCTTCTCGAGGACTCTAACCTTCAGACTTTACTCCGCCCCCTTTCCTTCGCTTTATACTGAAGATTTACCTGGTGAGAATAAAGCGTGTTAGAAATGCTACTACGAAAATAACAGGCCGAGTGCTCATTGCTTTTCCCGTTTCGAAGGAGCCAGTACCACAGAACGTTCGCACATGCGTGTAAGTGTGTCCCTACAAATGCACATTGGATTTGCCCTTCAAATTGCAGCATCGCAGACTAATACTCGACTGGGACGTCTCGAATAGAGACGTGTCGACTGTGTTACGGGGTCTGGTGTAGATGTTTCAACTGCACAACTCGGGGTGTTTTCTTGCAGTTTTATGCACAGTTTTGACTTGTAAGTATCATGTTCTTAAGTGGTGATTTTTATGCTTTTCCTTCCTTCATCTGTTGTTTAAAACCCAGCAAAAAGTTACACGAAGCTGCAGTGGTCTCAGACTTCTGGGTAATTCTCACTCCTGAGGAAGGTCTAACTTTTTAATGGTCTAGGGTCCTATGAAAATGCCAACTGAGGGGAACACCGGTGCGGACTCACGTGTCCTGTTCGTAAATGGGAAGCACCAGGCTCATTTGACCCCCAAAATGCATTCCAGTGCATTTAAACATTGCCTATGTTGGGTTCGAAAGAGTCTTTTGAAATCTCCGAAACTCTTGAAAATAATTACCAGCTAAGTAGCTGCGTTATGGAAAAGGACAGGTACTAGTGCACTTTTAACCCAGAACCCACTTCCGCTGCTTCTGGCCAGAGAGGAGAGAGGAAAGGAACTGAACATTGCAGCCCGGCCAGGTGGCTGACGTTGGCGCCAAGTCGGCTAGGAAGGTGGTGTTGGAACGACTCTGGAAAAAGAATGTCATCGCGCATTCTGTTCGGTGTTTATCCCACTTCCCCTCTGTCCACAAACAGAGAACATTCACTGAGCCTCTGGAGGGCCTGGTTTTGACGCCTGGTGGGAGAAGGAGAAACTGTGCAGCATCAGAACCAGAAGAGAGACAGACCCTTTCATTCCACAGCAAGTGCCCCTGGCGGCGGAACGAGCCCGGCGCTGTGTCCGGCGGCCACGCAGCAGCGAGTGTGGTTCTGAACCGGGAGCTGCACACTTTAATTTTCGGAGTGTCGTGTGATTTAGAGGAGGCATTGGGCAAGTGGTGTTGACTTGGGTGTTTCCACGGCAGACTCCTGCTCTTTGAGTGTAACATAGTAACGTTCGCAGAGTGAAGCATGGACGTGTGTGTGCGTGTGCGTGTGTGTGCAAGAACCAAAGTGAGAAGCTGGAGCATGTCATTCCCATGGCCTCCCAGTGACCTTTCTAGCTCAACTCTGCGGAAACACCACACTGGATGGAAAACGACCTCGTATATTCGTCTACCGGCATCTGGGCATAAGCCATAAAAGGATCCAAAAAGTGCAACTGATTCACTGAACCTAATGGACAGTCCTGACCCCGAGTGCCCAGGTGGGTGGGCTCAAACACAGGCAATGTTTGAATGTATGAATGCATCGTCCAGCCAGCTTCCAGCTCAGCTTCTGTCCCAGTCCTGGGCCTTGGCAGGCTGGCGGGCCCGCACCAGCCCGAGTTTGCACTGGTTTCTCGTCACGTTGCATGTTCCCTGACTAGTGACTAGCAAGTGTGTCCTGGCAAGGCCCCCAGAACTGAAGGGTTTACTGTTCCCCACTGGCTCGCAGCTTTGAGCTGAAGGCATGTGTTAAAACAGTGCAACTCACTTCAAATGCTTTTTGCTTTTCATTTATTATTGCTTGTCACGCAATGTTCTTTGAAAGCTTGCTCATTTATTATCTGTTCCATTTTTTTCCATTTTCCCTTTTTTTGCATGCCGTTCCTCCTGTTTCTTCCCTTCCTCCAATCCTCTGTTCCCGTCTGTAGACACAACGGCGACGACAGAACCAGCAGTTCACGGTTGGTACCACATTCCTGTTTCTCTACTTCCTCAGCACTGCTGGGAGGCAAGGCAAGCTGGGAAAAAGAAATGTAGTCTTCAAGGGCAGCCGTGGCTCAGGTGGCCCGCGCTCATGAAATACGATCATTGTCGAAGGCTGAGGATGCCGAGTCTTGTCATTTCTGTTGTGAGTTCTGCAGCCAGCGTTGGGATGGAGGGAGGCCTCCTCCGCGCTGCCTGGGTGGCAGGAGTCTCGTGGGCACGGGGTCCCTAGTGCTGTAGCCCAGCAGACCTGAGCACACAGGACTGCAGACACCAGAGCCCCCTGCAAAGGGCAGCATGCGCCTCACGGGTGCTGTTGGCCTTTGCCTCTCACAGGCCAGCGTCCCTGGTGCCTCTGGGAGGCGTCATTTGTGTCCTAGCAGCTGAGAAGGGCAGTCAGGGTGAAGATTCCTGTTAGATTCACGAGGTGGTGATGAGGAGGTCACTGCCCTTCTGTTCCTGTGCCCTGGCCGCGCTCACCTCCCCCGCCCCTCCTGGCTCCCTCGTCTCTGAGCACCGAGGTCTGTGCCCCACGAGACAGGGAGCGTCTCAGGCCCGAGAAGGACGCCAGGTGTCTATGTTAACAGCAAAACTGGGACTTGAAAAGAAGTCATTTGGGTGTAAGCACCTTGTAGAAAACTATTAAAAAGTTAAGATTTAAACTTCCTCCAAAGACAGGAACACAGCCTTTAACACTCAGGGTGGGCACCCGAGAGCCTCTTCCCCATCCACCCCGACTTACGACGTCGGAGTAAGCTGTTAGCTCTTCATGTCGCTCCAACCAGAAAATGCGAATCATTGTCATCTGTAGATCCCTTCACTGGCACACACGTAACCGTGCTGATATGGTGCTTGGAGACAGACTCGTTGGTTAAAATGGGCTGAATTTTAATCAGTGCACCCAAGGGGATTACTTGGTGAAGGGCCTACTAGGTCACCTTGCATGTTGTGCAGGGTCGAAATCTCTCATTTAATGAGGAGAGTGATCAGCCAGCCCTGTACTGTCCCTTCAGCGTTTAGAGGGACATCTCTTCCTAGCATAGACCGCGTCCTTAAGTTCGAGTGAGGACTTAGCAGTTGGAAGTCTGAGTGAAGCCTGTGCCCGGTGAGCAGGCCCTGGAGGCCAGGCCTTGGTGCCGGGACTCGCCGAGGGGTTCTGAGGAGGCCCACACATAGGAGTGGAGCGGTGTGGCCTCCCGCCCCAGCCCGCTCACCCTGCCCTTTGCACACAGGGAAGAGTCCGTCAAGTGCGTGAAAGGGCCAGACACACGGGCAATCATGAGGAATCAATTAGGTATAAAACTTCCCTTTCTAAGGTTAATGCCCCTTAGTGTTTGCTGCACGCCGGCCTTGCACTCCATTAAGCTTAGTTATTTGTAGGTTTCATCATTAATTGAGCACTTCCTGACTTTTATCGATTATTCTCAGAGCTTTAAGGCTATTTTAATGTAGTTTAAAAGATTTTGTTCTCCTCTTTTTAAGATGCTTTAAGTTCTGAGCTTCCTATAATTAACTCCAGGGTCAAACGTAACCCTAAGATTCCTGAATTCGGTGAGGTCTTTGAAGAAATATTGATCATTTATCTCCTAAGACTCCAGAGTTCTGTTTCCTAGGTCCCTTCACTAAAATCCATGTTTGTGGGTGACTCTAATGGACGGAGGCCTTGGAGTCACGTGGGGTGTTCACAGTAGGAAATACCGTGTTCCCCTGACCCGAAAACGAGAGGTTTTCCTAGGGGCCAGACGAGTCCAGGACACCCCGTTGACCAGGCCTTGCTGTCTGGAGGAGGAAGTGAAGGCGACCCCCTCGTGGGGCATTGTGAAGGGGCACGAACGGGCTCACCGCATTCCTCGGGCGGGGCGCAGGTGTTTGTGTGCTGGGCAACAGCTGTTGGAACCGGCCAGGGACAGGGTTTCAGCCAGCGGCCTCTCGGGCGTGTTACCGACCGGCAGTGTCTGCAGGCAAGACGTTCAGGGAGGAAGAGGGGAGTGAGTATCTCTGATTCCTCAGCAGGAGGAGAGAGGTGATGACCCAGCGTGACCCCCATATAATACGTGGGGTACATTCTCGAACGAGTCTGAAATCCTCGCAGTGCCCCCCAGAGGGGTCCAGCCACTCTCTTGAACAGAAAGCCCTCCAGCAAAGAGCTTTAATGAAACCAAACTAAGAGTTAGAATTTCACTTGACAGGAGAAGAGTCTTCCAGATCAGTGGTCAGGACAGAGACGGGGGTGGGAATATGGTAGGAATGGCAAAGCAGGAACCAGCTTTCCAAAGAAAGGGGCACAGAGACCTGATGTCATTTGAGTGGATGATGGCTAACCCCCCCCCCCCCCCAGGTGTAGCTGCCACTGACTTAGATGCGTTTGAGAGCCGTCTTGTAGTGTCCCCATGGAGACCGGGGCCCAGAGCAAGGCGGTGGCGCAATAACTCCACAACTTAAATGACAAGACGTAACAGGTGGCCAGTCGTGACCATTCTACTGGTCTTAAAGCCTTTATACTGGATTTCCTTCCATATTTCTCTTTTACTGAAAGAAAAAAAATAATTTTACAAAAAGCTTTCCCTTTGAAGACTCATTGAAATGTTTTATTCAAGCTTGTGTTGCTAGAGTATGTATGAAGTATACCAGTTGTTTATGTCTGTTGACCATTTGTTCTTACTGATATCTGATTGAAATAATGAGCATGTTTTGGAAGGTTAAAAGTGCATGGGCATGACTCAAAATCAAATGGATTTTCTCCAAAAAAGAACCCAAACGTAATCAGCCACAATGTGTTTCTAAGGATCTAATTGACAGTAGAGATCAATACGAGTGTAAGAACGGAGTTTGCAGACTAGGGCAAACCGAAGGGATTTCCTTTGAACAAGGACCCGGAGCATCTGTGGTTTTGGAGCTCATCCTGAAGGCCGGGACAGGAGAGCCCTGTTCTGTGTGCATGTTGGGCAATGCAAAGACACTCTGCCAGTCCCGGTGCCACCGTTCCGGACTCGACGCAGAGGTGCATGCGTGCCGCGAGGCACGGATGTTCTCCTTGTCGTTACGGTTTTCGATGTATGGGTACGTGTGATGGTTCTTGTTTGTTTGTTCAAATGTGGGCGCTTCTCTGTCAGTGTCTTGTGCCTTGTTCTTTTTCTGCCCTGTGTGTCCCCTCTCCCAACCCCCACCCACCTCCCCTGTGTGAGGTTCTGGGTGACAGCATGTCCATGGTCTGGAATAGTGCTTGTGCTTCTGCTGCACTGCGGTCAGCTGGCTTCCCCGGGTTTGAGGGGCCCCTCCCTCCCTCCCCACTCCCTCCCTCCCTCCTCTCGCTGTCCCTCCCTCCCTCTCCCCCTCCCTCCCTCCTCTCGCTGTCCCTCCCTCCCTCTCCCCCTCCCTCCCTCCTCTCTCTGTCCCTCCCTCCTTCTCCCCCTCCCTCCCTCTCCCCCTCCTATTTTATTATATTCAAATCTAACTGTTCTTTTGCTTTCTACCCCTTGATACATTAGACACTCACGAATTTAGATCTCCCAGATGAGTTTTTAAATATTTTTGAATTCGGTATGTATTTGTGGTAAAGACCCAAACTTGGAACCCTCTGAAGTAATTTTTCACTTTCACTTTCGGTTTCAAATGTTTGTACCCTAGTCCACCGCCCTTCCCGAACTACCCCCATGAATCTCCCTCTCTCTGACTTATTTTACGAGCAGCACAAGCCATGGTGCGCTTCTGAAGCACGTGAAATTCTTATCTTACTTTCCATTCAATTGTGAAGCCCGTTCTCAAGGAAAACAGCCAGCAGTGCGCATGATTACAACCTCTATGTCCACCCTGTGTGTCCTCCCCGCACACCGCGTTGCACAGGCAGGGCATTGCAAGGCTGGCGCTCAGTCGGGCCCGCAGACCTGCGCCTGCACGAGCACAGCCGAGCTCTCGGACGGCTGCAGGACCGGAGGCTGCGTCTCAGCCTTGACGTGCGCTCTGGATGCAGTGTGCTGCTGTTTAACGGCGCGAACCAAATTTCTGCTAATGGGAAGAAGGGAAAACTCTCCAAAAGCTGACAAAGCAGGAAGAACAGGATGACTGAGCTTTGAGATTAAAACTGCCGGGGGCGCCCGAATCCTCTTATGGCTGGTGATGGAAGTGAGTTTCCATGACATCGCCAAGGGAGCAGGTGTGAGCCGCTTAGGTAAGAGCGACCTCTCCCTCTTTTCCATCACGGGCTGGTGCCAGGGCCAGTGGGCTCAGGCTTTGTGCCCAGAGGTTCGATTGGATCATTCTCTTTCGAATGAGAAAAAGAAAAAGAAAAAAGAAACCCCGATGGAACTGAACCCGCAAACGTTCACATTTTACTTGACGTTGACCCTGAATTCATTGAAGTATCTCTAGGATTTCGTACTGTCTCTAATGGTTGAGGTTTTCCTTAGCCTGGTTTAAAACTGGGGCACCTTCGGGGCCGGGCCTCCCCGCAGGCAGGCGGGCGGCAGAGGGGCCGAGCTCCTGCCCCCCCTGCCCCCCCCCAGAGACCCGCAGGGCAGGTGGTCAGACACCACACCTGCACCTTGGACTTCATTAATTGCTCCAAAAGTAGCCCATGTGGACCAAAAGTAAACTTTCATTTGTTTAGCAATATTTACCGAAATGTGTTGAATGGATTCTATCATTATTTTGTTGTTGTTAATCTTTACTGGAGGATGTTTTCCATTGATTTTTAGAGAGAGTGGAAGGCAGGGAGAGAGAGAGAAACATCGACATGAGAGACACATCGATCGGTTGCCTCCACACGTGCCCCAGCGAGCATCGGGGATCAAACCTGCGACCCAGGTACATGCCCCTGACCAGGAATCAAACCCACCACCCTCCTGTGTGCAGGCCGACGCTCCAACCACTGAGCCACGCTGCCCAGGGCTGTTGAATCGATTTTAACGAGAAGTGACGAAGTCCTTTGTCAAATTGTGAAGCTTCCTTTTGCAGAATATCCTCTGCTTTATAAAATGCATAGTTGCCCTCTTCGAGACAAGGAGAAGTGGAGGCGTTGTAACATGGAAGAAGGCTACTGAGTCAGAGCAGTTTGGGGAGGTGAATCTTGCATGCCGTCACTGGCACGTTCAGTAAACGTCCTATTTATTTTTATTCAGGAATGATCCGACCATTGGAACACGATAGGTCCCTGAAATACAGCCGTGCGGCGGGCACTACCAGTGGCACATGCCACATACACGGCTTCCTGCTGTCGGTCTGAGCAGTGGGTTCCAGGCGCCTTGGTCTGTCGTAAATTGATGCCATGAAAAATGACAGTTTTGTCTTTAATGAGCTGTGTATCAACTGTCTGTTGCTTCTGAATGGGAAACTGCATATCAGTGATATTTCATAAACATATTTGTCTCTATTTTTTAAAATTAGCGTTCTAATGCCCTCTCCAAGGAGGAAGCCTGGCACGGTGATGCTGCCTGCTTGACACAGCCTTGTCTCCTGCGGCTCAGTGGGCTCCAGGCTCGCGTACAGAAGGCTGTGATACTCACTGGGCCACGCAGAAGCGAGGGGTCAGCCTTCTGAGAGCTGCAAATTCATAATTAACTACAGAGACGTGCTTTATGTTGCCCATTTATAACAATTATTCAAATAATTGTATTCATCAGTCTTTATACAATGGATAAAGCCAGTTAGAAAGAGGAACACTTTCATCCAATCAGATTCCGGAACGAGGGGATAGCACCCCTACTCAGTGACCTCGATAGATTACTGCATTCCCCACTGCTTCCCTCTTGGTCCCCTAAACCCATCGTTTGGGAACACCCATGGATCCAGAATCCTCCCGTGTTTAATTGGCATCTGCCCCTGAGTATTGGCCTCCCGGGGCCTTGATAGAAATTGTCTTTGAGACCTGATGGTGTGCCCACTTCTTTTTATAGCACAGACGGGCTGTATAGTCAGGTGGCTTGTTTCCAAAACCACTTACAAAATCCAGACGTACTGACCGCTCCTACCCGAGTGTTTCTGTCCATTTGGGTTTTTAAAAACTGGTGCGCTCCACTGGCCATTGCTTGTCTCTGAGCACTCGTTTGGTTGTTCCTCGTGCTCTGTGGTGGCTGCTCCCACACCTTAGTTCAGCAGATACGGCCTGAGCATACGCTGGGCTTGGCTGCGAAGGAAGGGTGCGATGAAGCGGTAAACAGACGTCCCCTTGTCTTCAAGACCTTACCAGGTCCACGAACATCTTCCAAGGCGACAAGTCGCATCAGGGAGATATTGGTGCACCGTGTGAGCTAGAGGACCTGGACAGGCCAGGACGTGGAGCTCGGGTCCTCGAGTCCGCGTCCCCGAAGAACAAGTCCGGGCCTCCCCGCTGGCCCAGCACCGTGTGGTGTTTAACAGACGTGAAGCCCGGGCCACGGAGCCGTGTCCGGCTCGGCCCGTTCTTCCTCCCCTCCCACCTCCTGTCCTCGAAGGCAGCGCTTCGCCGAGGGCCCCCCAGCCGCCCGCACTGGCATGTCCCCGCCACTTGCTTGTCTCCTGACTACCTGCTTTATCAGCTTTGAGAGTTTTATTTTTCAGGACTACCTCTGATTTTTGAAATTTTCTATTTCAAAACATCTTTTTGCCAATCCGATTCTCCGAGGAAGGCACAGCCTGCCGCTGCGGTCAGCGGGCGCCGTGCCCGTTGGAAACCAGCGACGCAGGAGCCCGCAAGCGCGCAGGGCCTGCCCAGGTCGGCATTGGCAGAGGGTTTCCACGCACGCACGGCGCCCCGCGAACGCAGACGCACCGGCAGGGGCCTCCAGCTGTGCACTGGAGCGCGCGGCCAGCGCACCGGGACAGTCGGCCTGCGTTTACTCTCCTTTTGCATGCTGTCCTGAATGAGCGGTTGTAAGCATTCACCCTCGTGTTTCGTGTGCTCTGAAAGTGGAGACTGAGGAATCTTTCTGCCTGATTGTGTATCAATAACAAAATCAAATGATTGGAGAAACGTACTTACGTATTAATACATTCAAGCTCTCCAAAAAGAGAGAGAAAGCAAGAGATTCGGCTCATGTTTTTAAGAAATTCATCCTCAGTTCTTAAGTGTTTTGTTTATGTCCCTTGAGGAACGAAAAGAAAAACGATTTGTTTTTACTTGTAAGGCCTCACTCAGTTGCCCAATTCCGCAGAAGAGCTGGACAGTGAGGACCTCTCAGGTAAGGGCTAGTCATTAGGTAAGACACTGCGGTGTCCAACCTGTGGGGGCCCAGTCCACTGCTGCAGCACGGCCCTCGGGGTGCTGAGCCACCGATGAGCAATGTGGATACTGAAACCGAAGAGAAACACATTTTTATTAACACTTTTCCCCTCCCCTCCCACCTCTCTTCCCTGTGGCAGTGGCGTGTATATTTCAGATTGGGGCTGGCGCTGTGTGGTGCAGGTGGAGGTCAAGCTGTCTTCGGGATTGTCCAAAAGCCACTCTGGCCAGTGGCGGAACGGAGTTTCATGTTCTAGATAGATACTGGTTCGGGAGAAACTCTGTTGCATTGTAAAGCGATTCGAGGATGTTGGATTATGAGACGAGATCTTTATTTAAAAGCTCGTGGACCATGACTGCGGTGAGGGGACTGGCAGAGTCTGGCCGTGGTAGTCTTAGAAGTGGGGGTGGTAGGAAGGAAGGGCAGTTGTTCTGTCACACACCACGATGTAAACTAATTATCCACCTCAGACCTTTTCACAGCACACTGAGCTCTTCGTAAAAGTCGGTTTCATGCTTGATTCCAGGATTTCGGTGTTACTAATTCAAAATAAGAAGCATATCCTAAAGGGGGACATTTAAAATGGTCAGAGCCAAACAATTATATGAGCTTCTGTGATGTTGTGGGACTTCACTGCCAAGCACCCCAGCTTCTCCCACGTTCTGATCAGTCACTTCTTCACAAATCAATAAGGAAGGCCCCTCCTCATCACCGTGGTGGAGACACCCAGGCGGGGGGCTGTAGGTGCCCATCGCAACTGTTGGACAGAGGGCTCCGGGGCCTCATTGCAGCTGCCTTGAATGACGGTTGGTTGTCGAGGTGATGTGTTAGGTGGGGCTCCCACCCAGTGAGAGAGCAGGACAGGACTTCCCGCCCAGTCTCCACAATGAGTAGATGCATCGTCTACTGTGTGCTTCTGTCGAAGCCCAGGGCTGCGTGTATTTTTCTGTCATGTGGTACATCCCAGTTTGAGCTTGGCTGGTGGACTTCCCTAGAGTGGAACCTGCAGGACACGCTGGTTTTGTTCACTGCTGTCCGCCTGTCTCCTGGTAAGCACACCACCGCACCCGGGCGAACAGAGGAATTCCAAACCCCGTGACTTCACGTAGACACAGAAACAGAAGATGGGAAGGTAACCAGCCCATCACAGAAGTGTTTCCTTTTCCCCTCCTATTTGTGGTATATTGGGAGAAGCTGCAAAAACATTAGCCTGATTGTCTTTTTTTTTAATCCTCACCCGAGGACATTTTTCCATTTTTTGTTCAGATAGAGCGGGAGGGAGAGAGAGAGAGAAACATCGATGTGAAGGGACACATCGAGTGGCTGCCATCCCACACGACCAACCAGGGCCGGGGACAAACTGCAACCGAGGTACGTGCCCTTAGCGGGAACCGAACCCGGGTCTCTCTGGACCGCAGGCCGACGCTCCAACCGCTGAGCCAAACCGGCCAGGGCACAGCCTGACTGTCTTTTAGCATGAGAGTAGATGAGTCCTCCCCCTGCGTGGGGCGTGATGCCACGCGTAAGCAGCGCCTGCTCTCTGCTGTGGTCCTGACCCTGCCGAAAACCCCTCTGACAGTGGCCGTGGCGGGTGGATCTCTCGAGGGTCCTAGGGAAGGACTGAGTTCTCATTGGCCCTGGTCCCTCTGCGAATATGAGCCCCACAGAACCACGCAGAAATGCAGACCTCATTTTTCTCCTCTTTAGGAAAATGGGGTGAAACCAGCCCGCCACCCCTCCCCCGGCACCATCTACTAGGATTACGCTGGGTCTCTGAGCTCAGTACCTGGTCGGATGAGCCTTGCTGCAGTCCTATCAATCACCCCAAGTCAGGAGCAATCCACCAACTACTGTTTGTGTTCATTACAATTCAGTTAAATTAATAATGACGCCGTTGCCCTCCCCCACGCCCTGCAGGCTCCCTGCAGCCGTGCTGCTCGGGAACCATAAGTCTTTCTGAACACTGGTGATCTGTCAGGCTGGGCCAGGCTGCCTTTGCATCTGGTTTGATGAACTAATCAAAAACTGATTAGCACCTTTGTTCAAAGGGGATGCTGATTAATCAATTAGTATTGATTGTGAGCTTGACTTCACTCAGCAGCAAAGAGACATCTGAAGGGAAAAAAAAAAAACAACCAATAAAAATTGAGCAGCTGTCATAGTGTTTAAATTTATTAAAACAAAATACATTATTTTTTATGAAGCTGTCTTGAAATGGGTCACTGAAGGGGAGCGTATTGATTGAGGAAGGATGAACTTCTCAAATTTCTGTAGCCTAGAGACGGAATTCAATTATAATACAAGACAAACAGGTTAACACCCGGCTTAAACAGTCCATCAATAAATTAGAGTAGGTGTTGCCCGTTTAATGCTAAACTGTGGTAATGAATAATATTACCATTCCCACTCTAGGTGGAATATCCATTCTTTTCTTAGAATGGATAAATGCTATTTTCAGCACTTCCTTCAAACTAATGATAGTCTGTCTTCTACTCACCCTCATTCCCCCACTGGGGAACCCCATTCACCACCACCACCCCAGCCGGTGAGTCCCATAAGCAGCCCAGGGCGCTCCACCCCACACAGCAGGTGTCCAGCCGAGCCTGCCCTGCACCGCACATGAAAGCCACGCTTGCGTGTAGTTCCGTGGCTGGACTATGGGCAGGACTGGGGAGCCTGAGCAGTGTGACTTGGAGCCCTTTCGCTTACTTTTGGGGTGTTGATTTTATTGATGATAGATCCACACAAGGTCTGAATGGTCTCATCAGTTACATCTGCCGTGCCCGTGGACAGCTGGTGGTGGTTGCCACCCACGTGAAATAGGACAGCTTTCAGCATAGTTCGCCTTCTGTTTTATTTTAAAACTTAAAATGTCCCCCGCTGCCTCCGCGGTGGAAGGGCCGAGGGGGCTGTCAGTGGAGGGCGGTGGTAGAGAGACCACGTTCCAGAGCCGACGTCTCCTGCTTGGGGAGCAGAGGCGCGGACAGAGGCGCGGCCAGCCTGCTGCCCAGGCAGCTCACAACTCTCGCCCCGCGAACGAGAAAGCGCCCTGGGAAACCCTACACGATCTCCCTCGCACCCCCTAGGAAAGTGTGCGTGGAAGGCAAATTTTAGTCTTTTACTTTATTTTCTAATCCTCCACCTGAGGGTATTTTTCTATTTATCATCAGACAGAGAGGGAGAGACAAACATTGACCTGAGAGAGACACACCAACTGGTTGCCTCCCGCACGACCTGACCAGGGCCGGGGACAAACCGCAACCGAGGTCCGTGCCCTTGACCTTAAACGAACCCAAATCTCATTGGTCCGGCAGGTTGACACTCTAACCTCTGAGCCAACCGGCCAGGGCTGGAAGGGCAATTTTATTTATTTATTTATTTATTTATTTATTTTTAATCCTCATCCGAGGACATTTTTCCATTTTTTTACTCAGATAGAGTGGGAAGGAGAGAGAGGAAGAGAGAGAAACATCGACGTGAAAGGGACACATCGAGTGGCCGCCACCCACATGACCCAACCAGGGCCGGGGACAAACTGCAGCCAAGGTACATGCCCTTAACGGGAACCGAACCCGGGTCTCTGTGGACCACAGGCTGGCACTCTAACCGCTGAGCCAAACCGGCCAGGGCATGGAAGGGCAATTTTAAATGGCTTGGATAATCCATGCCCGATGACCCAGCCAGGTGAGCAGGCTCCGGCCCCCTGAGTGGATTCCAGAGGAAATGTGTAAGCATGCAGCCTGAATTTAGACACTGGAAGCATTTAAAGGTCTTTGGATCCAGATGGTCAGTTCCAGGGTAGGATATAGGGCCATCTGCTTACGTAAATGTCCTCAATGTCTGTGAGAAATTCGGCAGACACTGTGCTTTGAGGGACTCTCCTTAATCAGCCCCTGCCTACGTGTGGCTCAGATTTGGCAAATAGGCTACTCTTCTTGTTTGGCAGGCAGGCAGATAACAATGACGATGATAAAACAACAAAACTGGCTGAGCTCGGGCTGCTCAGGGTATGGCCCGTACGTGTGAAGTGTCACTGTTCGCCCATTCGGTGGTGACGGGTTGAAAGCGCTCGCACACAAGTCAGTGCCTCATGTCATCTGCACTCAGCACGATGGTGTGAGCTCCCCATGCCGCCGGCCTCCAGGCTGGGCACCAGCGACCCGCAGTGAACAAAACCAGCCGGACGCTGGAGCTGCCGCCGATGCCCAGGGCCAGCCCCTGCTCCGGCGGCCCCGCGTTCCGGCAGGGACAGACTCAGCAGCACAAATGTTGGGCAGCGACAAATGCTTTGAGGAAGGCCAGTCTGGGCGGAGTGAGGGCTGCCTGGTTCAGAAAGCTCCCGGGAAGCCGGGGGACAGCAAGGCCGCTGCAGGACGCCGAGCCAGCGTGGGGAGAGCATCGGTCAAGGAAGGGCTGTCAGCTGTCAGTCTCAGCGTACGAATGAGGGGCGGGGGCTCCAGAGGGTACTGATTCACTCAAGAGACAGTCAGCCTGTGAACACATGGGTCTTCCTGCCTCCGCAGGAAATGAGAGGCTGTTTGAAAGCGGTCTTCTTCCCCAGAAATCCATACTTCCTTTGCTTTGGGGACTTAGGAATTGTTTCCTCTCGGACCCTTTTCAGCTCAGCCTGTGCATCCAGGGAGTGAGGAGGGTCCAGCTCCCCAGAGCCCCAGGTGTAGCCACCTGCCCCTGGCCTGGAGGGAGCCCCCAGCATGCAGTCAGGCCTTGCCTTCTGCTCAGAAGCTCTGGGTGGGGCCAGTGTCCCTGCCTGGACCCGCGGGACTGTTGCCCACGGAGACGGTTCTGGAGGCCACAGGAGAGTAGTGGTTGCAGAGGGTCGGCGTGAATGTTCCCTCGCTTTAAATGTCCTTCAGCACCAGGCACAGCGGCCAGACCCTACCGGGTCCCCGCCAGCTGATCCGTGGCTCTTCCCAGGGGGACAGTGAGCTGCGTCACCT